GGCGCTGGTGAGGTCCCACCTAGAATACTGTGTCCAGTTTTGGGCCCCACAGTACAAGAAAGACATTGAGGTGCTGGAGCGTGTCCAGAGAAGGGCAACAAGGCTGGTGAAGACTCTAGAGCACAAGTCTTACGAGAAGTGGCTAAGGGAACTGGGGTTGTTTAGCCTGGAGAAAAGGAGGCTGAGGGGAGACCTTATCGCTCTCTACAACTACGTGCAAGGAGGTTGTAGCAAGGTGGGTGTTGGTCTCTTCTCCCAAGTAACAAGCAATAGGACAAGAGGAAATGGGCTCAAGTTGTGCCAGGGGAGGTTTAGATTGGATCTTAGGAAAAAATTCTTCACTGAAAGGGTTGTCAAGCATTGGAACAGGCTTCCCAGGGAAGTGGTTGAGTCACCATCCCTGGAGGTGTTTAAAAGACATGTAGATGTGGAGCTTAGGAACATGGTTTAGTGGTGGACTTGGCAGTGCTAGGTTAATGGTTGGACTGGATGATGTTAAAGGTCTTTTCCAACCTAAACGATTCTATGATTCTATTTCTATTACAGAAACACCACATAGCCCAGGATAAGAATTAAACACTATCACATGAGGCACGCTACAAACACAATTCAAAACCTAAAAAAGCTGCAGCCACACTCTGCAACTAAGCAGGAACTAAGAAAAAGGCCGGAGGAATATGTTTATTTCAGTGCAGAATTTTTAAAGGCTCATGAATAAACTTGAGATGGTCCTTATAAAAATAGCTCAAGACCTCACCATCTTTGGAGGAGACCTTTACGGTTTTCCGAGCTCCTCCATATAGCTGGAGTAACCACTCCAACAATTTTTGATTTATTATACCTTATATTTCATTGTAGAAGAAAAAGCATTTTATAAACTTACTATTAACTGGAAGTTACAATCTTTTCAACACAGCACATCACTGGAAATACTCCAAATATAATTTTTATATCTAACATAATGCAAGGTGTCTTTTGGTGTTGGCTCCTTCTAAAGTTATCTGAAGGTATTAACAGACAAAAAACTTCATAAAAAAACCTGCCAGCATCTTGCAATTATAAAAGTACTGTTTATAACAATTTCAGCCACATATCCAGGATATCTCTGGCTTCTTCTTCATCTCTGTCACTACTACATCCCAGAAATACTTTGGGTAACTAAAAATAGGAACTTGCACAATTCTACAATTCCTAGTGTAAGACAACAAACAGAAAGGGCAAGTGTGGATGACAGGATCTCTTAATCTGAAAGCCTTTCTGTTTACCAACGCATGCAAATTTGTTTGCTAGGAACATCAGCAGCAGGCTTCAGGTTGCCCGAGGTTGGCAAGGCTGGCTTTATGGAACACAAAGCTAGGCAGGAACTGGTAGTGGAAGTTATCATTAGCACAGGATGTATAAGAGGATTATCAGAGCCATCTGTGGTTCATAGGTGTCCAGCATGCCTGTGTTTCATCACCTACAAACTTTACCTTCCGCGAACACTGTGATTCTCTGCTTTCAAAGCCATGAAGTGTTGCTGATGAACTACCAAGAATCGGTGTGCCATGCCATGGGGTGACATGCAGTGTCAATACAGAGACCCTGCCCAGCCCGTGCTGCTCAGCTGAAACAAAATTTCAGACCATGTTCTGCAACCCCCTGCCTAAAAGCAGAATGTACAGATGGGGGCCAAAAATCAGGCAAGTTACTTGGAAAAAAAAAAACATTAAAAAGGTATTTGGTTTTCTTAAACCAAATTTCGGCGTTTACAATACATCAAGTTTTAAAAACGTCAAAAGTGTGCAAGGACGTTTTTCCCAGAAAGACAAGTGAGAGACTGTCTGGCCCGAGTAGAGTTCCTATTAAGTCTGGCAGTGGAACAGGCACTCAGTATGCACACCAGTGCCAGCCCGAGTGCACTCCTGGAAATCAGACGGCTCTGCTTTCTGAAGGGAAACTCTCAGGAATGCATCCATCTAACTGGAACAACACAAGGCTGCTGTTCTATGTATTTGGTAACATTCTTATTTAAATACTTCTTCAAAAACAATTTCCTGCCTTTAAAACTGCCTAAAAACATATATATACCCAGACAGTTAAACAACTTTAAAATGGTATATAACAGGAAAATTTATACATGATTCTGATGTATCCTTGCTTTAATGGAACAGAATTGTTTGCTTAGTCATATGCGACTGGTGAATTCTGTGGCGACTTCTGTTTAAAACACATTTAAAAAGACACACAATCTGAAACTTCAAGCACACCTGAAATAATGGTTTCATTCATGGTAAGAAGCTACCAAATCAAACTCTGTCAGAGGAACTAGTTTTTGATCTTTCTTCCCTCTAAATGTGTCTGGAAAAGACATAATTCAACTTTCCTGTATCTACATGGTTTTCCACCACACTTATTTCAGACTTCTCCATCAAGGATCTAGCAGAGAAGCTCTGCAGAATTTGGGAAATCAGTTGGTTCCAGTTAGGTATAAAAGGAAAGAATGCTCAAAGAAAATCTCTCTCACTGAAAATATTCTGACATTTAATTCTCTGCTTTCATGGAGCAGGACCCCGCTTGATGTCCTATCATGAGCTCTGCTATGGTAGAAGCAGGGGTGACAGCAAGGCTCTCCACTCTGAAAAACAAAGTATTTGCTAGGTTTCCACACCGGACCTGTGCTTTCCTTAAAAACCGTTTCTCTGTTTTAGTGTTCCACTTGGATGTTGTATATTTATCTATGGTGTGTCAGTCTCCAATTACCAGTAAAATAGCCTTTAAAAAAAATCTATAGCAAGACATTTTGATACAAAATATAGGTTAAAAGTCCAATGAGATCATGAGCAGCACTGAGCATGTTCTCTTCACATTCCGAATGAAAATTATTTACATTATTACTTCAGATTAAAGGGAAAAATGCTCTTTTCCTCCTAATACTAGTAACTTCTCATATAAATTCACTAATTTATATTCATTCCCTATCATCTGTCTTATGGCTGTTTTATATATAGTGAGGTACATTTCTTAGGTGTAAATTTTAATGTAAAACCTTAAAGATTAATTTTCTTGTCATAATTGTGTTTACCTGTATTTTATAGCCTTACATACCTTTAATCAAGCTATGCTTTTCATTTGGTCTTTTCCATTAAAGGATACACCTATTTTTCAAGCGCTAACATCAACTAAATTATTTTCTTTCCGTAGAAAAAACACGTGCCACAAGGAGCATCTTTCTCTAACTCCTAATCACTCTCAGAGGAATTTAATTCCCTTTTGAACCTCTAGCCTTTGTTAAACAGTGGTCAACGGGCTCAGAACTTCATGGAAGATAAATAATAATTAAAAACAAAAGTCACATTAAGACAGTAAGACTTATTAAAACCATCTGAAGAAAAAAAATTGAGTTTATAGTTTTTCTGCATCCTCCATTTTCTGGTTTATTGTAGGGACTACTCTTACTGCTTGGAAGCTACCTATGGGTTCTGCAGAAGCTCACAGACCAAAGTACACAACAGTAAACATACAGGCCTTTTATATCCCAAATGTAGAATGCAGGACACAGAGGACAAGAAAAGGCTACTCATTTTAGCACCGTGTGCTCTCACCCAGACATCTAAGACCCTAGTACAGAGTAACAAACAGCCCAAGGAAAAGCCAAACAGGACTAACACTACTAGCAACCTATGCATTGAGGTGTTTAAACACAGTTTATGAAAATATTAATCTATTGTACTATCTATGTTTGTTTACTTTCATCATATATAAGAACCACAGAATAATTTACATTGGAGATACTAACAAACGGTCTGGACATGGTCCTGGGCAACCATCTCTAGATGGCCCTGCTTGACAGGGGGCTTGGACCCGATGACCTCCAGAGGTCCTTTCCAACCTTGACCATTCTGTGATCATTCAGCTATCAAGACACCCGAGAGATCATACCTTAAGCAGACTCATGAGAAATAAGCTGCTACTACCATTTCAGCAGCTGACTTCTGTCCACATGCAGCTAAACTCTGTTTCAGTGGAACTACTCAATAGGATGACATACCATTTGAGACTCATACCAAGTCTATTTTTTAGAATTACTGTAGGAGTAAGTACACAGGAACGCTTTTTTACAGGACAAGGAGAAACATAACCTTTTAAAAACTGCTACAGAAATAGAAATACCAGCAATCTAACTGGAAACAGACCATCAAAATGGTCCTGGTGTTATCTTATTTACACCTTTCTCCATCGCCCTATTGTTACACGTCTTCTTAAATTTCATTAGAATAATCAGTAAAGGGGCCATCTTTCACAATTAATTTCTCTGTTGACTACCGTAATGGGACCTTGAGCCTAAATAGGACTGTCAAAATTAACACAGGAAAAATCATACTGGTACTAATCAGAAAGTGTTCCAAATGTAACGCGTTATTTTCACCAGCAGGTTGACTCAGTGCTGCATGTGGTGGTACAAAGCAAACCATACATACTCATTCACATGCCACACAACTATTGTGGAACTGATTTTGCACATGGAAAATAAACTATTTATCAAAATAAACATGTAGGATGTTCCCTGCCAAGATCCACTTCCAAGGTCTAATTTAGCAGAATTCTTTCCCTTCCTCTGGAGAAAATCTGAAGGGTTCCCCCCGGCAATGAACCATTCCCTCACAGAGCCGTGTGGTGTTTCCTTTGGCTATGGCTAACAGTTACGTATTATAGAGCACATACAACTCAAATAGGGTAATGAAGTTTTTTACTCATCTTTTACTCAACTCATTTTGATGAAGTAAAGAGTTGAAAACATGATTTTCTCATTTAAAGAAAGCCCCCAAATACAAAAAACTTAGCAACACTCCCTTCTGACTGTTCCTTGCTTTAACGACTACTTCTCTCCAAAAAAAGATGACATAAAGAGAAAAAGTATTACTTTTTTTTCTTACTGATAATGTGAGAGCCTATATAGTACATATTCAGTCAGTGTCCTTTTAAAAAAAAAAAAAAAAAAAAAAAAAAATCTAAGATACTTACGGAGTCCAAACCTGTGGAAAGGCAGCAATTTCTTCTGGTGTATATTCATCTAACCTCTTGGGAACTTCACGTGGCTGAGGAATCTCTTGTAGAAGATTCTTCTGTATGTCTTCCGGAATAACCTGAGGCAGGTGAGCAGTCTTAGCTACCTGACTGTTTAAAAAAAGAAAAAAAAAAAAAAAAAAACACACCACTCCCCCGCAAATCCAGACCAAAATTTGTCAACACTACTGCATTCTTCATGCTAAGTGTGTGACCTAAATACAGAAGACAATCTCACACATCTTAGGTATCACAATTTTGTGAAATAATAAAGAAAAAAAGCATCAACATTTCAACTACATTTAGTTACATAAACAAAAAGCAGCTTGATTTTCCTTAATTTACCCTTCTTATGACAAGAGTTTTGCTATTGATAACACTCCCTCTTGACCTCCAAATCACACAGGAATGAAAATGTCACTGCATGACTACTCACATCTTCCGGGAACAGGTGCAGCCTCTGCATCATAGTTCTTCTCTGAAGGTTTTTTGGAAGCATTCTATAAACAGTCAGTTTAACAATCTGAGGAAAGATAACATGGTAACAAATAATCAGACACACTACAAATAACATGAAAAAGGTAAGCTGTGCTTCCCTCTGCCCATTCCACTCATCACCTAACCTCTTTTCAGTCAATTTCTGCCATGCTGAAGAACTCTGGCACCACATTTAGAAGGTGCTCTAGACTTACTGTTTTGGAAGAAGAAATACTTACTCCCCATCATATAAACACTCTTAACAGTAAGTGTTTCTATTTTTCTATAGAAAATGTCACCTTAGAAAGTTAAGAGCTATATTTAGCATTGTGGATGATTGCATACAATCATTCAACTTTGAAAAGATTTGAGAAGCTTGTGGTAACTCCATATTGTACTACACATTTATATACACGTTATTGAGGAAAAAAAAAAAAAAAAGGCTCTAACAAATTTACCAAGTGTTCCCAGCAACTAGTTTACCACTGTAATTTGCTGTGTTTGAAATTTCTGTATAATTAATGCATCGTATCTTAAGCAAAGCTGACATACCAATACATTGCATTATGAACATACTATATATATTTATAATTTATTCCCTTGCTATTAGTTCCAGATGAACAATCTCACTTCCAAGCATCAGGAATGAATAGAATTTGTACATCTACGCTAGATGATGCTTATTGAAAAGTAACAAAGTTCAACAGGATTTCTCTTGGACTGTAGTATAGATGCCTGTGATTTAAATACAAAACACACTGTTATGGACTTCACCCAGAAGGGGAACGTTTGTAAATGTAAAACAAGACATGCAGCCATAGGAGACAAAAAGGGTCTTATAAAGGACAGCAAAGCATGTAGGGGTAGACCTACAGGCAATTTCGTAAGTAGAAGGAAACCCACTCTACCAGTGCTCCAAGCCACCCAGACATAAACTAACTCCAAATCAGAAACTACCCAGGCATGCTTAGCACAGTGTTAAGCTGAAGTTGATATGCCATGCCAAAATGCACTGCACTAAGCACAAACAAATCTCCCAGGCATCCAGATATTTTGAAATGTGTGTTGAGCAAAGTTGCTTCTTTTTATAAAATAAAAGGAATTAAATTGAAATTTTAGAAACAATCACTAATACTGAGTTCCCAGCTGGAACCACGTAGTTAAGATAGAATGATTAATTGTTGCCAGTGAAACTAATGAGAAGTGCAGATTCTTAAACTTGCAGGCACTTCTACTTGGATTCTGAAGTTAGTAAACACTCAAGATAGTTTGGCCCCAGTATTATTTTCATTTTGCCATGTAACAGACAGTAACATTGTCTTAGGATCTCATAAATATATACCATATGCCTTGAGAAACTCTGAAGGCATTTAGAGAAGCCTCAACATCATGAAGATTTTCAGATGTTATGAAGCCACTACCACAGATTTGTGGACAAATATAATAAATGAAGATGACAGAAGAAATACATCAGATCAGAAAGAGTAATCTGTAGTGTTGACAGTTATTTAATGATTTCACGCCAATAAAAAGAGAGACTTTAAAATACTTTAAAGAGCATTGTTAAATATTTTACTTCTTCAAACAACCAGTGTTTGTGTCCGATTTCTCATCTTCCTCTGCAGCACTGGTACAGACATCTGTTGAAACAGACCAATGAGCTAGACGAACAGCTGGTCTACTCTGGTTGTAGATACTTCTGCCTGGTGAATCTGATCGGATTTTTTTACCCACATTACAAAGAGAACAGTTTAGTTGTAAAAACGTGCCTATTAAAAAGTCACACTGGAAAAGAATGACTGATTTATATGCTCAAGTTAAACAATGAAGAAATACTTTCAATACTGTCTATAGTCACTGCAGAACTAACAACCTCAGGTGAGGACAGACTAACATGAAAGTAGGACTTGGAGAATAATAATGAATGATCATGGATAATTATACAGTCAATAATAGTTTCTATAGATAAGTATGCTAAGTGCAATAAGAATAATCCAACGTATGCTTTGGTACGTCTGCCAATCTCCATGATGTTCAAGAGCTCATTTGGCTTTCCATGCCCTCTCACACATGCAAGAAGTACATTACCACACAATCTGCAATAGAAAAACCACCGTCACATGAAGCACAAACCATTTTTACTGCCAGGCAGACCACAGAATTGTAGAATGGTTTGGGTTGGAAGGGATCTTTAAAGGTCATCCAGGCCAACCCCCCTGCAGTGAGCAGGGACAGCTTTAACCAGATCAGGTTGCTCAGAGCCCCATCCAACCTGAGTTTGAATGTTTCCAGGGATGGGGCATCCACAACTTCTCTGGGCAACCTGGTCCAGTGTCTTACCACCCTCATTGTAAAAAATGTCTTCCTTATGTCCAATCTAAACCTACCCTCTGTCAGTTTAAAACCATTACCCCTTATCCTGTCACTACAGGGGATAAAAAGTCTTTCTCCATCTTTCTTATAGGCCCCCTTTAAGTACTGAAAGGCTGCAGTAAGGTCTCCCCTGAGCCCTCTCCTCTCCAGGCTGAACAACCCCAACTCCATCAGCCTGGCCTCACAGCAGAGGCGTTCCAGCCCTCAGATCATTTTTGTGGCCCTCCTCTGGACCCACTCCAACAGGTCCATCCATGTCTGTCTTGTGCTGCGGACCTCAAGCTGGAGGCAGTACTTCAGGTGGGGTCTCACCAGAGCGGAGTAGAGAGGCAGAATCACCTCCCTCGACCTGCTGGCCACGATTCTTTTGATGCAGCCCAGGATATGGTTGGCCTTCTGGGCTGCAAGCGCACAGGTTCATGTCCAGCTTTTCATCCACCAGTACCCGAGTCCTTCTCCGCAGAGCTGCTCTCAATCCTTTCATCCCCCAGCCCATACTGATATCGGGGGTTGCCCCGTCCCAGGTACAGGACCTTGCACTTGGCCTTGTTGAACTTCACGAGGTTCGCACAGACCCACCTCTCCAGCTTGTCCAGGTCACTCTGGATGACATCCCTTACCTCTAGCAAATCAACTACACCACTCAGCTTGGTGTCATCCACAAACTTGCTGAGGATGCATGTGATCCCACTGTCTATATGACTGATGAAGATATTAAATCCTTGCCTGATCCAGAGCAGGAAAGTGGACTTCACTGTTAGAGTCTCTCCCATTCTGGAACTTTGATGCAAACAAACAAACTGCCAACTTACTAACTAGACATTTCAAACAGCTCATTTTTTAATTGCATATTTTTGTGGTTATCATAGAGCCTTTTATGTCTGAGTCACTTGAAAATATTGCCATCTATATGTTACACCCATGCGGAGAACAAGAGAGATGAACAATAAGCTTGGGTTTGAGCATGCATATTCCCTGCCCCAGCAACTCATGGTAGGGGCAAAGAGGGAACAAAGTCTTGGCTTCTGCAGCAGATAACTTCCTTGCTGGAACTGGTCAAAGGGAGATTTATACCTCCCACCCCTCAAGCACATTCACCTTGGTCAAGAAGAAAAAAAGAGAAAAAAGGAAAAAAAAAAAAAAAAAGGAGGGGTAAGGTGGAGAAACTATTATTTGAGACTTGTAAAAAGCCAAGGAAGTGTATTACTAAGCAAGCTGGAGTAAATGTAAAAGGTCCTGCTATTCTGTACTTTTCTTATTCATTTACTGCGAGGTAGTTAGTCCAACTGCAGAACAGAAGGCTCTATAGGGAGCTAGAACAGAGAAGGTAGTGCTGGAAAACCTCTAGCTTCCTTCTTTGTAACTTTGGCCTCAAAGACTTTTCTATGAGCCAAAGCAAATCCAAACCCAGCTCCTAGAAAGACCAAGTTTACATCCAGCTCCTTGCCCAAAATTCTGCCTACAGCCAGAACTTCACTCTAAGTGGTGTGATGACACGTCAAAGAAGTTAGTAAAGTACAGGCTTAACTAAAGTTGTATGGACTGCTTTTGCAACTTGAGTAAAGTTGTGTAACAGAAAAGGCAGATCCAACCAGCAATATTTGCAGGGTGTTAAGGGCTCTCTTGTTAGTTGACCATGCTCAAGTTTTACTGAAAATACACCAACCCTATGGAATTACAAGAAAAAGTCTGCTACAGAACTCATGCAAAACTCAAACCCAGATTCAATACTCCCTGAAAGCACACATCAGAACATGCTGCTTCTTTAAGGAATTAACAACAACAAAAAATTTTTTCTATATGCTTGTAATACAATTCTAATAAAAGACAATTCTTATCATTTTCTATGTGATTATGTTAACTTTGAACTACTAAAATAACAAGAGTTTAATTTTACATGAAAGGTATAAAACCTAGTTGATTTCTGTGGGATTACAAAGTGGTCTCACTGCAACCTCGATCTCAGTATAAAGCTAATTGGTACAGTTTAACAGTTTATTCAGTTATTTATGGATTCCTAATGCCTCCTCTCCCCAGTCTTTTATCTTTAGTACTAGCAATCTGTAAAATTCCATATCCTCATAAATACTCACTCCTAAAGGCCATGACACTTTCTCCATCAGTAAACACATTCACTATCAGATGTGTACAGCCACCAGAGTGTTAATATTTGGGGATTTTTAAAGTACTAGAATGCTGTTTGCCCCAATTTCTTTTGAATTACAAAATTCCTATTGGCTGTAGTTACAATTGTCATCCTGAATATTGCAATATCTTTTTTCCAAGTTGGCTAATTTATATACTTACAGCATAGGCATGCTCTTAAACACACAGTTATATGACATTACATTTTCAGCTTCCAATCTAAAGGACTAATTAGGAGGAAAGGGATCTGAAGGCAGCTCTAGTAAAAGTCTTGCACTTTCAGTCCCTTACTACACGGTCTAACATTTTATGAGTACAAATAAATTAAAAATGTATTTATTTGAAACACTGTGTAAGGCTTGAACATTTCAATTTTCGTGATAGGCTTTGGCTCACATGCAAGTTGCAGACTACACTTGATGGAGAGCAAGTTCTGAGAAAGATTCTTTGCCAGATAAAACATACTTTGAAGAAGGAAATCAACAGAGCAATACCACTCTTGGTCCTGAGAAGCACAAAATAATTGGC